ATGATATCCTCTAAAACTGTCGGCAGATGCACTTCTGAAAGAGACAAGACGTTGCGAGAAATGAACATCAATTGCATTGTTATGTCATAAACGATGTCAGAGCCAATAGCTGAATAACGGCACGCAACGGTGCAGACATGCGTCCAAGATTATGGGTTTTGAAAATTAACATACCGAAAAATTAACAATTTGAATATAAGCGATCGCAGTCCTGACTGCCCAACTGACGGTACATTATAATAGTTTAGTTATTGTTAGATTAATTTGAGGCCGGTTTTATCACTGATATGTTAGCATTTTATTCGTGCCTTAGCGGGTCACGAATAAAACGCGGTGGGTCACTTTGTGACCCGCGGGTCAGTGGTTCGCCATCCCTGCGATAGGGGCTTTTGTTTTACATTCTTTTAAAAACTGCTGCAAAAAATGCAGCAGATGTAATGGTAAAAATGACATCAATTTTTGATATGAAAGGCCTAAATTGAGATAAGTCTTTGTCGTATTTCCGCTGTTCAGCCATTTTGATAAACAAACTTGTCTTGCTTATTTCAAACCTGTTCTGCTTGTCTCACATTTGTCCTAATCGAATTAAGTATGTCTCACACTTGTCTAGTTTGTCAAGCACTCGTCCTGATCGAAATAAATTTGTCTTAATTGTCTCACACTTGCATGGCTTGTCCCACGTTTGGCTTGCTTGTCCCACACTTGTTATGTTGTCTCACACTTGTCCTGCGCCCTGTCACTTTTCTTGATTGTGATTGTATCAGCGGGGTGTCTTTGAAGAGGTCTCAAATGACTAATAATTTTTAGTTTCTTCTTAAAATTCAAAACTCTGGTCAACGTGTAATGTCTGAAATTTTTTGTCGCCAAAACTGAAGTACATTGAAGAATCCAAAAATACGTCTCATGTTCCAACAAAAATGCACCAAATGTTCCAACAAAAATGCACCAAATGTTCCAACAAAAATGCAAAAACTCTAAATTCCGAATTTATTTTCATGCTTAAAAACTCGTTTGTATACTTCAACCGGTGGTAACAAAAACAAGCGTAGCTTACAGTGTATTGTTTCTCTATTTGTTTGGTCCCATATATTCTCTCCCTATTATCCAATTTTTCTCTCTATTTAGTTTTAATGAGATCGAGCAAATTATAGAACGCTGTTACTAAATTTGTACAAAATATGACCAAAACTAATAATATTTTTCTTAACTCAGGCTATTGTCGTTTCAGACAAGTATAAACAAAACTTTGTTTGACTTGTATATTGGTGCCAAATTTAGCTAAATTTTCAAGCTTTTAATTCCCGAAAATGTTTTCATATTTTGTGACTTGTGTAGCGAATATGGATTGTGGCTATGGACTTTAATGTTATTTAACGCCTTTATATTAATAGGTATGTTAAATTCAATGAAAATAGGTCATTTTGGCTATTTCCCGGATAATGATTCATCGTGACAAGTGACAAGCCTTATAGCTTTCTTCGTTTCAAGCGTTCTTTGTCTCGGCCAATTTATGACGTGTGTTTCCGCCTTTGTCCGAAGGTTGAAATATAGGATTTTTCATGTTTTGTGATTTACTGCTTTGGATTCGAGAATTGTAGAATTTCCATATTAATTATATGGCAAACAGTAGCGAGTGTGAACTGTAACGGGAATTTATCGTGTTAATCAACCCTTTGTATTAATAGTGTGAATTCAATGCATTGGTCATCTGCCCTATATCCTGATTATGATTTATCGCAACAGGTCTTGGCAATGATTCTTTGTATCGCCGGTTCTTTGAATCGACTAATCTGTGGCGTGTTTCCGGCCTCCATTCGAGAGTTGAGGATATATATATATAGTGTTTCTGCATTATTACTGATTTGGATTGCAACCGTATAACTAGTACACGGATGGCGAATAGGCTTGCACGTAATTTACAGATTTACGGAATTATTTCGAGTTACGGAAGGGAAGTTACGAATTACGTAAAAGTCGTAATTATTGGTCGAGCGCTTTCGCGATTGAAACGAGCTTTCTTCAAAGCAGTCAATTCCGTCGATTGTAAAAAGTGAAAGTTTAAAAAGAAGTTAAAGCTTCGGTATTTGCAGCCGTTTTTCTCACTTTTCTCACTCTTGCCAATACGTCACCGTGATAATTAATGTCGCGCTTATCAAACAGCAACATGACGACGGAAGAGAAATTGCGTAATGAACCAACGCAACTTCGTCTTTTCGGCATCGGTAAAGCGATTGAGACGGCAGAGAAACAACAATATGACGGGATTTCCCGCGATCCGGTAAAAATCCTTTGCGGACCGTTGACGGTCCGCGGACCGGCGGTTGGGAAGCACTGTTTTAGAATACTTAAATCAAATCCAGAATCTCATTCTATTTTTATAGTTACCGTATTTAAATAGTGGGATTTCTCCACCACAATGATTGAAATTAAAAAAAAAAGAAGCTAAATTGTAGCCTAAATGTTTAATGTATAACTATCTTTATGCAGTATTTAATTGAAAATGTCCTGATCATTGGATTATATTTAACCAAGGCAACGAGATTTAAGAATTTCGACGATCGTTTTTTTTTGTTTTTAACAGTTCAATATTCTCAATTTAACTACTATCAAATATCAAGTATGAGCCAGTGTGTTTATTCTGTGCGAGAACCATTTTCAATTACAAAACCTTGATGTTCTGTTACCGGTTTTATCGTTTTATATCAGTCCGGACTTGTCCTTGCTCAATATATTTTCCACAATGCCTCGCAATATTTCGGCCAAATATGATTAACTGTCTTTACCAAATGCGGCAACTTATTTTGATTCTTGAAAACCACCGACACTCGACCAAATTTGTGTCAATCTTGGCCGATAGGATCGTCGACTTGAGTTAGAAAAATAAGTTAATTTTTTCGTGCGTGCAAAATAAATGTCACAATATGCATTTTTTTGCGATATAACTTTGTATTTTCGGCAAAGCCATATCATATAAGTACGGTATTTAAATTATGCGCATATAATTAATATTTGATCTAAATTTGTTGCAAATAATGTTACAACATTTAGGCCGCGACAGGATTTAATGTAAAATGAAGCATGGTAATCGGAATAACGTCAATAAGTCGGCATCAATAATTATTATAAAATGCTGACTAGGTAGTAAAGTCGAATAATGTTAAAAACGGTGCAATAACAAGTCTTCGTCGCGAGGCAAGAGCAAGTATAATCAAACGAGAGAATACGCTCGTCATGGCGTTGATAAATTGGAAACCCGACATTTTTTTGAATACGATTTTAAAAAAGTCAACTATCGTTTCATAAATATCCGTATACCAGTGTCGGTAATGATAAAATTGATCGCATAAAATTGGGACGGTTAATTTGCGAAGGTGATAAAGGAAATCAAAGCTAGCACAAAAGATAACAATCGGAATAAAATTAATTTGAATTCACTCTTGTCTTAACATCTGTCACCGGCGTGTAGTACTGCCAGGAATATGAAAACCCAAACTCGACGTCCCAATCGAAAATGAAGTGGATTCAATTGGTTGTTATGATAGGTTTAAATGTGTGAAAAAATATCGCAATTACGGGGTCATTACGTAATCGATTTGGCCGTAATTACGGAATTGATTTTTGTCAATTACGTGCAAGCCTAATGGCGAACCTTTTTCAATGAATGGGTCAGAAATTATATTTTATCGCGTAATAGAAGAGAGTGGGTCACATCTGTATAATCAATGTTTGTATCTATAGGAAAATTTTGAAACTAATCTTATAAGCTTCTGTTGGTGTAGTTTTGGGCTTTACATATGCAGCAATTCTATCAGGGACTTTTTATGGCACCCGATTTAGGAAATTTAGGCGCGGCGGTGTGGCTCGACGGGCTAAGCGTTAGGAATACGCTCGCCACCGCACCTCTAATTACTCTGCGTGGGTTCGCAGGTTCGAATCCCATGCAGGGATGGTTATGTGCGAGAGGATTGCTGGACTCCTCGCCGTCGTTGGGTGGTTCACGTAACCGCTGGTCGGTTACGGCTTCCTCCACCACCAAGTCCATGCTTCCGAAAACAAACAATACAGTAAAAACTAATCCCATACCCGACTTGGAATGGTAACCGGACGAGAGGCCGTGGTTCGCCATATGGATAAGCCGTCTTATCGGCTTTCCTCTCCCCCGGGATAAATATGTAAATCCTATCCTATCCTAATTAGAGTACGAAAATACGCATATGAATTACCAAAAATGTTTAGGATGATGCAGCAAATTATTTTACGGTTCCAAAGAGTTTGGAGGGAATTCCATTCTGATAGTGTTATATTTTCAACCACATTACCATTACGGCACTTTTACACCACCCCATTGTTATTTCAGATTATTCGGTTTTTCTTTCAAGTCTGAAAAAATTTGTTTTCTCAACGGCATTGTAGGCGAGAAACTCAAAAATGCAGAGTAGCATCTAGTCCTCGTATAACCCCTAAATCAGTCTACAGGTACAGTTGCAGTTTCGAAAGAGATAATATGTTGGGAAAAACAGTCAATTGCATTGTTATGTTAGAGCCATAGTCACTTTGGTCAGAGCCAACAGCTGCATAACGGTACACAGCGGCGCAGACACGTGTCCAAGGGTAGGGGTTTTGAAAATTATCATACCAGCCCAGCAATTAACTATTTGAATATGAGCGAGCGGACGGTACATCATAATATTTTAGGGTACTCCTGAAGTATGCGCACCAAGATGTCTCACAACCTGAACCCTAACCTGGTACACAACCTGAGTTCAGGTTGTGCGCTATCTTGGTGCGCAAACTTCAGGTCCTATTTTAGTTATTGTTAGATTAATTTAGGACCGGTTTTATCAATTTTTATCACTGATGTATTAGAATTTATTTATTTCATTCGCGCCTTGGCGGGTCACGAATAAAACGCAATGGGTCACTTTGTGACCCACGGGTCAGTGGTTGACCATCCCTGAACTAATATTAAGGCTCAAGGGTATGTTTCAATATTCAATTCGATTGTGCAAATTTACAATATACGAACATTGGCATTAGGCTACAATGTATTGTTGGATTATTGACCTATTGAGGACTCAGTTGGGGTTTACTCCGCTAACGTACTTCCACTGTATTAAAGTACGTGTATTAAGGACACGCAGATAGAGACATTCTCCCCTATGAAACCACGTATTTCTTCCGATTTCCAGTCTATGTCGGACATGGCGAGAGAGAGAGAAATTTTAATACATAATCAACACAAATGAGTAAACGTATAAAATCAATTATTTTGTGGGTCAATCTGCCAAATCGACAAAGATCATCAGGGCCCCGACCCGTTACGTTTCCCTGTCAAAGTTGACGATAAGAAACTATTATGTAGTACTTATAAAAATAAATAAAGAAAAAAATGCGTCGAAAAAAATTCAACAGGCAGAAAAAGGTAAATTACCGAGACCACGTTTGCGAACCCCAGAAAACTAGGGACATCATTTTATTAAACTATTAACTCTTGAAGACAAAAATTATAGTTACACAGATCCGGCGTCAAAAAGATGTTGAAGGACACTCGGGTTCAAATATTCATTTCATATTTGATCATAGCAGAAAGACCAACTGTCATGCAATGTATTATATGAAAGTGGGTACGGTTTTTCTGTTTCTCGCTGTATTCTATAGTGACAGCACATTTGCACCCAAGACATTTACACCTGCATACTTTTGCCCCACGAACTTTGCAATCGTACATTTCCTCTCATAGATTTTAGCATTGTACATTTGCACTCTGGACATTTGCAACCCCAGGCATTTGCACCCGCGGATATTTGCACCCATGTACATTTGCACCCACGTGCATTTGCACCTACGTACATTTGTACCCATGGACATCTACATCCACGGCAGTATGTTCCCCAGCTTTTCTCTTTAGGGGGGGTGTTTCAAAATTTAGGGGGTGGTAAATAATTTGCTATCAGAGATAAAACTAGGCTATTTGTATTCTTAAAAAAATGGTATATATTTAAGAGACGATGTACATGGGAGCCCCCCCCAAGTTGATTGACGGCGAGTCAAAATCCACAGCAGAATGAAATTGTAGGGCCAGAAAAGGGGAGCGAAGAAAATTGCGGGACGACACGGCTGGGGTTCAGGGCGCGCTTAAGCGCCCTGAGAAAAATTTGAGAAATAGGCACCAAAATAGGCTCTAAGCTTGATTTTAGATACACCTAGGATCGCAGTTTGTTATGTAATAAAATCAATAATTATAATATTTAGCTGATAGAATTCCCGGGGAATAGATAACAAGCACGGCTTTCAACCGTAAATATATACTACTACGTTTCAACAAGTAATTTGCAAATGATAGTGACTAATGAAGTTACTTGCTTATCTGTCATTTTATGAATGGCTACTTATGGCTAGTTTTGTTACACATTTCTAATTTTTTTGAACATGTTTGTTTGACTTTTGTATAAATTAAATTTTGAAATACGCTCGTCAACTGATCATAATGTTGTATTCCTTCAGAACTGAAATATTTTGTTGGTAAGAAGACAAATCGCTGAAGTTTGATTCTTTTTGATAAAGAAATAAAAACGCTGTCATTCATTTAAAAAACGTCTGTTTTCATTGCCTAGTTTTCGTTTTGTGACATCTTTAAGCTTTCTTAATATACGGCTGGTATCTAAAATACTGCAGTGTGTAATCATTATACCCATACCTATACATAAGATACCGGAATAATTCAATTGTTACGAAATAAACGTGCTTAAACTGTGATAAAGATGTAACAATAGACGGTATCTAAAACTCAAAAGGTACCACATGAAGGGTTAAACTATTTTACTCAAGTTCGGCGGGCCATTTTAAATGGTCACGCGGGCCGTAATTGGCCCGCAGACTGCGGTTTAGAACCCCTCAGTGTGGAATAGCACCTCAAAATTAGGGGGGGTGTTTGAAATTTTAGGGGGGGTGTTCACCCCCTATAGGGGGGGTGTTCACCCCCTATAGGGGGGTGTAGGGAAATCACTGATCCACGGACATTTGCACGCATATGCAATCGCCCCATGAACGCAACCCGCAGTCATGTTCGCGAATAAACGAGTTTCAGACAAACTTCAATTACCAACTATAGATATATATTCGAAATGAAGACGGATTACAAATTTTAAGTAGCCCGTATTCTTGGGTGAGGGTCGCTACGTTTTTACTGCCATTGCCAGTTATACCGTAAATATATACTACTACTAGGTTATACTCCTTTCCCAATTTTGTCGGACATTTGCTTCTAATGAAATAACGCAATCGTAGTCCAATGTCCTGTGGCAATGGATTTAAATTTGGCAAAAAATGTACGGTGGTTGGTAGACGATGGCGGAGAAAACTGGCCGTACATAAATTAACCAAGTCAGTGTTGAACCAATTGTACAAGACAAAAGAGAGGTTCTTCGAGAAAGAAGAATAGCAAAGCGAAAAATAGAGAGCGAGAAACGACCTAGACATGGCGAAAGCAGGATTTCCGATTTATATGGAACAAGTTGTTTACATCACTTTCCTACTAATTGTATTATTGCGCCGCAATGTCAGTCAATGGTAAACAATTGTTCATGGGTGCAAATGTACGCAGGTGCAAAAGTACAGAAGTATGCGGTTGCAAATGTACGCGGGTGCAAATGTCAGAATGTTCATGGATGCAATCTGTATGTGGGTGCAAAAGTACAGAAGTATGCGGGTGCAAATGTACGCGGGTGCAAATGTACATAGGTGCAGATGTACGTGTGTGCAAATGTCAGAATGTTCATGGATGCAATCTGTATGTGGGTGCAAATGTCCGTGGCCGTGGGTGCAAAAGTATGCAGGTGCAATTGTCCTGCGTGCAAATGTATGTGGGTGCAAAGATAATGAAACAGTATTCTACTGCTCTGGGCTGTTTTTCTTTGTTCTGTGCTTATTGAGGCTTCCCTCTCTTCTGTGCTGTATCGGCATTCTTCTACTTTGCGCTGTTTTTTTTTCTGTTCTGCGCTGTGTTCGATGTGTAGTAAGTAGTAACTACAGGTAGTACCGTACTGTTGTAAGACCCCTCCCTACCATATGGCTACAGCTATTGCAGTATTGGTTTAATTGAAAGTTAGAACATGGTTTAGGCCCTTTAGGGTACTAAATTATAAAATAGCTGACATAGTTTAAGATTAATCTGTTCAGTTTGCAGCATGGGATATTTCTATTTTCCATACCTATTGGAGCTGATTGTTTTTATTGGCAGTGGTGGAGTTTTTACTGCATTGACGATTAGAAACCAGTATGTATACAATGTAAGTTGAAGTCTACATCGAAAAATTAACAAAGACAGAATGAGATGAATCTTCCATGTTAGTTTCAAAAGTGATCCTGTGAAAAACCAACCCTAATTCCTATATCCCTTGTTTGAACTGAATGTCTATGAATGGAAAAATTACTTGCTCACACCCTTAATACCCAATATATTCCGATACATACCCCTGTATCATACTGTTGTACTGCTCTAATTCAATTATATTTTACCTATACCTGTATACTGTTACCAGTAACACTTAATACTGTAATAATTGATGTAATCTGAACCATAATTTTGTAAATGAAAATGGCTAGCCCACCTCTTCATGCACCCAACTTTGGGTGGACGATCCAACTATCAGCTTGGGGATATCTTTTTTGACAAATATTTTTCACTGTTCACTTTTGTTCACAAAATCTATATTCAGTTCTGCAACTGTTGTGGCAAACATGTGAGAGTTGAGAATGTGGCAAACAATTTTACTTTATCTAGTTTGTTGCTTTTTTCTTATATCTGTGCGGTTGTGTGTGCATTAATTTTAATACTCTCAAGTGAGTGAACATGTACCACTTCTTTTGGCAAACTTAAATTCTGTATGCTATAAACTTACTTCAGGTTCAGTTTGCTCTCCTCATTCTATGATCATTTTTCATCAATTATTTTGTCTGTTATGCTGATTATGGACTCGAAAGAAACTTATTCCATTTGTAAAATGTCATAATCATGTGAATATATGCTCACATGCAATCCATTTGCGGAATTTCAATAAAGATCCAATTGGCTTGGCAGATTCGTTAAAGATGACATAATTCTACAATTTGGATTTCCATATTTGAATTTGTTTTTTGAAAGTTATTTAAGTTTATTTTAATCGCCCCATATGATGAATATCTATTTCACACAAAAATAATTGATGACTACTAATTCAGACTTTTCTCAAAGGTGATTGCTCAGATGCACAACTACACCTCCAATAATTCATTAGATTATTGTGCAGCGGACGATAATACTTCTTCTGTGGAGGATGACATAGTTGCTGCTGAGGCATCAAGGTATCATTTCAAGGCATCTTATTTAAATTTTTTGTCAGACTTTGTATATTACGTCAATGTTACTTTATCAAACACAAATTTTATTGTTTGCAGATGGCAGATATATATTAATGTTGCATGTGGTGTTCCATCTGTATTTGCTGCTATCATTTTGACATCATGGAGTGATAAAGTTGGAAGAAAAATTCCACTTGCGCTAACATTATTTGGTTTCACAATTTCACACACACTTCAACTTGTTGTGATCTTATTAAGGTAATTTAATCCAATTATGCTATTTCTACATTTATTGACTCATAAAGCTACATTGCTGATGTTCTATATGTAATGTTCGTTGCTAGAATATGTAATGTCATTTGACTGTGTAGGCCTATTCAGTAACTTCCAATGTGGTGATATCAAAGTCATTCGCTAGTCATGTGATACAAAATTGCTCTATAAAAGTACTCAAGCAAGTGTTATTTGTCAACCTGAAATTTTCTCTACAAAAAAAGAATAATGATGATTTTACAGTCTATAAAAAAGCTTTGCAGTTTTCAAAAAAAAAGTGCGCTTATAGTGAACACTGGTCATGTTTAATTAACTGTAATTGAATTCAATAGAGTGGAATTAGGAAGCTCAAAATAAGTTGGAAGTATAATGTGATGACATCAGATGAATTTTCTTTTCTACAGTTGGCCATTGTATATGCTGGTAGTCAGTTCCCTGTTATACGGCATTTTTGGTGGTTTTGTGGGAATGTTAAATATCTGTATGGCTGCAATTAGTGATATCACAACAAAGGAGCAAAGGGTTGCAAGGTAATGTCGAATATTCCATCTGATCACTTTAATAATATCTGTTAGATAGCCTTTTCAATCAACAAATTTTTAAATGGATTTGCAACCTTACCTTTTCCAAAATCTATTGTAAAATTTTGTTTTATTCAGATATACTCTTCTTGAATGCAGTATGGGCCTTGGTGGAGGTTTAATCAGTTTTGTTTGTGGATTTTGGATAACTGCAGATGGATTCATACCTAGTTCATATTTATCGGCTAGTGTCTCGTTAATCTCATTTTTGCTGGTTGGATTTTTGCCAAGTAAAACATTGAAGGTGGAACAACAGCAACAAATCAATGGAGGCGCAGTGAATAAGATTAAGACAAATATAAATGACAATATGTCTAAGGCACAAATTCATCAATCTTCCAGTTTTGCCCGTTTCAAGTTAATCAAGCAGGTTTATACTTCAGAACACAGTATTTGCAACATATGTGACAGCGGTATGTATACAATGTTTGAAGCTTTTAAATTCAAATTTTGAAAATTCACTCAAATCAATTTATTTGATTAAAATGTTTTCAAGTGTTCAAAGTTGTAGGGGAGCCTGCTCCTTGAAATACTAGCTGATAATCTGGTTCGCTGGTTCTAATCTTGTGGACAGATGATTATGCGAGTGTTTTACATAACCACTAATAATTGGCTAACTATTATTATGTGTGAGAAGATTGCCTGGCTTCTAGTTATGGCTTCCTCACCATCAAATCCATGCATTTTGATCAATAAGATGGATAAATATTCACTACCTGACATGGACTGGTAACCAGACGAGAGGTTGTGGACTGTGGTATGTCATACGATCGAGCCATCACATCGCCTTTCTTTCCCCTTGAGGTTATAATGAAAATCCTATGTAATCCTAAATTCTTCTCCTTCTTTAAACATACCTGTTACTGTTGGTATTTACAGTACATTCCAGATGTAAAACAAGTTACTTCTGCAGAATATAATTGGTCTACTTTGTATGATCTAAAATTGAATTAATGTAACTACCTTTTGCATCACTTCAGATTAATCCAAGGGTATCATATAATCAATGTTGATTCGCTTATATTTTTTGTATCACAAATCATTATTCATATTTGCAAAACTTGTTTTACTTTATGTAGTCAATCCATTGTGTTTCAGAATTCAGAAAAGATCAAATTAACTTATGCTCACATGGTGGTGGACTTAGGAAAGGTAGAGTTTGGCGAATGTGGTTCTACTTGCTGGCATTCAATTTATATCTTTTTCCTGTATTTGGAACTGGTATATTTGACACTATGTATTATTTATCCTATCCTCTGTGCTTTTCACCCACATTAATTGGAATCAGAATGGTGAGCTATATTATGAAATTGAGATAGAAAATACAACTGTCAAGGTATTTTTTGCACTGCATGCACAATTGTCTAAAATCAATGAAATTTTTAAATACATTTGAAATTGATTATATTTGATAAGCTTTCTTGATTTAAAAAACTTTAAATTACGGTATGTTTATTTCAAAATCTGAGTAGTATTGAAATAGTATAAATATTTGCCATATGATGACATTCTATGCAGCATAAATTTGTATGTTATTGTTGGGTATTGAATGAGCTTGACTGTAGATGTTGGGTATTGAATGAGCTTGACTGTAGAATTATTTTGATATTTCATATTTGCGTCGCTAGTACTTGGTCTTAAACGATGTGGTCCACATGAAGTAGGTATGTAAATTTTGATAAAAATGAAACCAAAATAACTTATTGGATATAGTAGATATTTATGATCTTGGCTGACTACAGTTTGTAGTGTAATTGTAAAAACCTCAAAATTCTATTTTAATTTGTAGTTGATGCAAACCGTGGACAGTTATTAAAATAAACAATGATTTGTATGCAATCAGGTGCATGCTATCAATAGTTCTGCACTTCAATGTGTTATTTACTATTTATTACAGTATACTAGTCTAGTTATTAATGTTTCGTGTTATAAGCTATGAAATATTCAATATTATTTAAAGAAAAATTTTTAACAAAATTCAAATATTACGAAACATCGCCGATTTGACACAATTCTAAACACCTACGGTATCTATTTTCTATTTTGTTACAAATAGTGTTGAAATCTACAAATCTTGAAATACTTTTGCAGGCTTTGTCATTCGGTTCAGTTGCACTAGCTCCTGGTCTTGTTCTTTTTTATAAGCGAGTACTCCGGTTATCAAATGTAACTATTATACTGCAAGGCATAGTTGCTCTGATTGGAATCGATCTAATGATATCATTTGCAAAACAACAATATGTGGTGTTTATAGGTATGTGGAATTTATGATGCAATTGAGAAAGGTGATGATGTAATGAAACGACATCAAGTATAAGTTATTCATTTGAAACAGTGAAACACAAAGAAACAATAATTTTCTTGATCTAGTGAATTTATTTTGCTACATCTTTTTTAATTCTTATTTTCAGCATCCAGTTTTACTATTTTTATGCAAGTGACCGCTCCTGTGCTGCGTACTCAGATTTCATCTCTTGCATCTATATCTGAGCAAGGTTAGCAAGAATTATTCTAACTCTTTTATTAAATCTTATTATGCAGACATACGGGGAGTGACAGCGGACAAGTATTACTTTTTATCCCGAAACAATAGTCAGTTTTAAAAATTTATTAGCTGTTAAGTATAGCTTCTAGTTGAATAACTTTGTACTAGTTGATGTTGCATAATAATGAAGTATTATTTTTGTTAATAATCTAGGTGCAGCTCTCAGCCTCATTTCTGGAACTGAAAACTTTTCCAATATGTTATCCAATGTTGCTTATTTGTTGTTATATCCAGCTACATTACCAATATATCATGGTTTTATGTGGTGCTTATCATGTGCAATTCTGTTAATACCATTGACAATGATCACGTAAGTTCGTAATGACTAAAAATGTATGCAGAAGATCACTTTATAGTGTTAACAAAATATCTCGGGATGGTAGAATTTAACACACCACGTTCAAAATTCAAGCACAGAACAGTATTATTTAATGTAAACTTTGGTAATTGACTCTTGCACACACATGTTTAATGCCATTACTCAAATATTGATCATTGAGTATTTGCATTGGCTAGATGTATTTTTCGCTGACACCATAGATGGCAGAATAATTTTGGCAAGTCATTTACCTATGCTTAATCATGATACATCAGCGTTTTCTTTGTTTTTTTTAAAGGAATTGATTCTTGATCATGTGATATAGTTTAAAACCACCTTTTATAATTATTGTCTTGCTTTTATTACAGTATTATAATAATAAAATAATTATAATGCAACATAATTTATATCAATTTATCTTTTACAGTATTGTTTGGATAGCAGACAAGAAAAAACTTAAGGCATCATTTTCAGCAACTGAAGAAGATCATTCCCCCTTGATTGATGTTGACTAAAAAATACTAAACTAATCTGAAGTAGTACATTTATGGCTCATGATACTCTTTAATATCTTATATCACTGCATTCAGTATAACCAATAATAATACATAGTACATAAATGTGTTTTTTTCATCATTTTTCCAGTACACGAATATGTTTTTTTCATCATTTTGTTATATGAATTTAAATTTTAACTGCTTGGCATCTTTCTATTGACGTGTGAAAAAAAATATGCATCTTGAATTGTTTTACATCAGTTGCACTAATCATAGTTTAGAATGGATAATCTAAGCTGGGACACATCTTTTTAGTTTGTCGGCTGTATTTCACTGTGCAAGCATACAGCATTCCTTCAGTAAACTTATTATTCTATTTTCTTTTGATATAGCAGAACTGCCAAGCAGTTTTTTTTGCTCAGCATAGTCTTAACGTTCAGTTTAATTTCAAATATATTTTCATCGTTTATCTACTGCTGGATTTTGAATTATAAAAATAAGAAAAATATATTGATATCAGAAGGTTATATTTTGTCATTAGGCTGTTTTGTTAATAGCAGGTTAAACTGAAATATCATTGTAAGAAATTTTCGCACAAGATCGGCCATTTTCCATATTACTATCTCATTAACCATAGAACAAATATGCTTAATTCTTTTCTTTGGAGTTTCCGAGTATGATTGTTAATATTTGACAAGTTTTGCTGCTTGTTTATAGTGGTGGCATATCATTATAACACACAGATTGTGTGGTATATTTTATTATCATTTTATGTAAATTGTGCACTTATTCAGATATTTTTTTTTGTATTATTGATTTTTCTCCAATGACCTATTATTATGCTTAATTTTCAATAAGATGTTTGATATGATTTTGTGCCAAATTGATAACAAATTTCCATCTTGTAGATTGGAGATGACTTTCTTAATTTTTTTCTCACTTCATCTTCAACGATTTTTTCAATTCACCAAACAAACACTTATTGATTTAAACTAGACCCATCTACATAGTCCTCCTATTAGCCTTTGATTATTCTTTTTTGTCATTAACCTATGAATTTTCAAAAATTCTACCAATGTTGTTAGACTATATTTATATTTGGCACTGTATTGGTACAGTATTCAGTTTTCCTTTGTAGATGCTTATGTACATTCAGGCGAATATGATCATCTATTTCCTTAGTATGGTACAGCGACATTTTGAAATACTGTGAGATGAAAATAAACCTCATGAAAATGAATTATGAAATAGTGTATTCGTCTGTTTTTTTTTGTGTCATTTGTGTGCTGTTGTGGATAGCACAGTCAGGACAGTACGAAGTAGTTCATTGTTCTTTTTCTGTATTTGGATGTCACGAAAGTTTCAACAGATAACCATTTTATGCTGTTCTACTGAGTAATTAGTCTGGATCAATTAACATGAATCTGGATGTTGATACATATGGCGCTTAATATAGGGCTATAGATTTTGATACCATTTTTTGGATCACTCGAATTTGTAACTTATGCCTATCAAATTGGCCGCCCCCATATGTTCTCCACTCAACGATCGTCGATGTGATTACATGTCCACCAATCTTCTCCCACATCGCGCGAAAATTAATGTTTAAATCAAGAATGTCAATATAAAATTACTAAATATCACGGTTTTTAAGTTCATGAACCGTATATTTAATATTTAGATTCTGACTGTTCAATTATGAAGTTGATCAAAAAAGAATGACCTTCGATAAAATACAGTTTGACATAGCTGGGTTACAGTGGCGTAGCAAGACTCTCGTGGGCCCCCCCGCAAAACTATTTCGTGGAAATGACCCTAAAAACTCTTGGACATAAGCTAAAACAACGCTTTTTTTTTTTGTCAAAAAGCATAACATGCCGCCATAAAAAGGCAATGGTAACCTAAAATTTGCTGCTTATCTTGGTTACTTTAATTTTTTTCATACGTTTTTCCTCTTCTGCCCCTTTTTTTCGTTTCTGTGCGCCACTGAGAAGTTTTGCTTTCGACATCATTCTGACAGTCTTCGTAATTTTGCCGGTGCGATCAAACCACAAGACGCCGAAAATCGACGACTCCCTGGCATTGTTACGTAACAAAACGATTTGAGAAGAACTAACATCAACGTTATAAGATGTGCATTACTGGTTTTGCAATGCAGCTTTTTGGTTTTGCGGCTTAAATTTCTAAATTCTAACCGCTTGGGCCCCTTTGCGCTGTGGGCCCTCCCGCGACCGCGGGGGTTGCGGGGGTGGATGCTACGCCACTGGCTGGGTAACGTTTTCAACGAAACAAGCATACGAACTCGTTTCAGCGACATTTATCTCACACCATATATGGGTTCCATTACATTTGAACCCGTAATTTAAACCCACGACAATTGCACCTGCATACTATTGCACATATGGAAATTGTTTTTTTTACGGATATTTGAACCCATACTAGCCCTAACACATGGATTTTAGCACCCTCATATAGATTGAACCCGTGGATATACGGGTGCAAATGTATGTGGGTTCATATGTATGAGCATTCATTTCAAAAATGCATATTGACAATTCACAGAGAATACAATGCGCCGGAAAGTAAATCTTTGTAGCGAGAAGCGTATACCAATAAGATATAATACAAAATCACTAAAGTAGGTAAATTAATAATTATGTTTTCAAAGTTGATTTCACAGAAGCATAACTACACCGCCAATAACTCATTGGATTATTGTGCAGAAGATGACAGCACTTCTTCCACTCAAGAGTACATTATTGCATCCGAGTCATCTAGGTATGTAACGAAATCGTTCAACAAATTATGATATATATATATATTAGCGCCATAATCGAACTGATACATTCTATAACAACGGTAATACGTGATAGGACAGCTTGAAATCAGTAGGCCTGCTTAAAGACAATAGGAAACAGTAGAACAGTCGCATGGCCATCTAAGTTTTAAAATGCATTTGTCATGCCAAAATATTCTATTCAGTTTTTCTGTTTACTCTCAAAACATGTTGGTCGTTGTCACACATTAGAATTTGTACGTCACAGAGATATAAAAAAGATAATACAATGTATATATACACAAAATCATAATATTCCACATTATTGAGAAAAGAGTTCGTATATTACACGAGTTATCTCTAACGCCGTATACCGCATTTCCAATACAATGAATGCCAAGGTTTCTTGTTGGTTTGCCCACCCATTTACAAATGGCAGATTTACATTAAGCTAGGAAGTGGAATACCATCAGTATTTGCTGCAGTTGTACCGTCATGAAGTGACAAAGTTGGCAGAAAAATTGCTTTGGTATTTCCACTACTTGGTTTCTTTCTTGGAAATGTCGTTCATCTTTTAGCAATATTATTCGGGTAGGTATATTCATTCAATAAATAGAATGATAAATTACCTCAAACAAAGCTCATTTTCTCATTTTCTATAATGTAGTTTTTTGAGTCTACTTCGATTCTTTCACTGGTATGAATAAACAGTTTATGCCGACATGATGAAATGTATGTGATACATAATCATAATGATACCATAACTATTTTGAGTATATATTGAATAGTGTTTGTTTATTACTGTATCATTAAGGCTGTTAAGCTACACTGTAAAATATTGCGCGACAAATTGTATCGATCTGGTGAATCTATCAAATTTATAGCAAAATTTTATTTGTTCCCTTTGCACTTCTGTTACAGCTGGCACTTATATATATATGTTAATAGTAAGTTGTTTTCTGTGTGGAGCTTTTGGTGGGTTCGCCGCAATGACAAATATCAATATGACTGCGATTAGTGATATGACAACAGAGGAAGAAAAAGTCACGAGGTGTGGAAAATCATATATAGATATGTAAAATATAAAATTTTAAAATATTCGCGAACAAAATAAAAAATAAAATTTGGTAGCAAGGTGTTGTAAACTTTGATCCTCTTGATGTTTGGCGGGTGGAAATCTGCCTTATGAACAGAGAGGTGTACACATGATTTAAGTTCACTCTCCCAGAGATAAAAAAATTTACTAGTCAATATAATGTAACACTATTATGAGATGAATCGAGGGTTTAAGCCGACTTTGAAGCATTTTTCTTTATGAAGAAAACCTTTGGGCCTCGGTGGAGGTTTAATCAGTTTTGCTTGTGGATTTTGGATAACTGCAGATGGATTTATACCTAGTTCGTACGCTACCGCAGCGTGTAGTTAAGCATCTGTTTTACTTGTGCCATTCCTTTCATCCGCAACTTTGAAAGAAACCAAGTGAGCAGATGAAAATGTTGAACAATGTGGGACTGCGGATCCCGATTATCATCGCCAAATATCTAAAGCAGGGCAAAACATCTGTCTCGGTACAGCATCCATCAATTAAAACACTCCGGAGAATCATTACTCGACCACTTTTTTTCGTTACAAATTAATATGGAGAGTTTATTCGACTAATATCAGTACGTGCAATATTTGTGGAGAAGGTATGTTGTGGCACTTTAGCTTTCTAATTATGTGACTGTATAACCGTCTCTTCCCGCATATAATTAAAAATTATGTTACGCTAATGTAGTATTGCCAGTCGTTGGGTTTTTACGCTATTCATATTTCGATTGTATCAATTGTAAAAATAGTCACACAATATACTTTCAGGGGCATGTATCGATCACCTAGAAAACTACTTTTTGTTATTTAATTAGAACTATTGATGGATGAAATACATATTTTCCCACACGGTGGTGGACTGAGGGAAGGAAGACTTTGGCGGATATGGTTTCACCCACTGTCATTTAATCTTTTCCTATTTCCAGTATTTTGAAGTGGAGTGTTTGATACTATGTATTTGATCTCTTATCCGTTGTGTTTCACACCAACTTTAATTGGAATCACAGCAGTAAGACTGAAATTAAAATAGCCTAATATGTCATCAAAAAATGAAATACTTTACAAGAAGATGATCAAAACATAAAGAGGGTCCTTTTGCCTTTTCGATTTCGTTTTGACAATAAGTAACGTCCGTTTAAATGTAAATATTATATTGTATTTAACTAGGTACTAGAATATGACTCAATTTGGATTTTTCTACTTGAAAACGACCTCCCATAATATTAGGAAATACAGTGAAACGTTGATTTAACATTTGGCAATTATACAATTGACCACAGAGTTAGAATAGCAAGCTTGCGCTTGGGATGTTATTTGAGAAAAACGATACCCGGAAGAAATTAAATTAGGAAACATCGGAGTTATCATCAACAGAACATTATTCAACTGTTGTTTTTTACTTAATTTAGAATAAACATCTATATATATTTAAGTATATATGGAAAATATGTTTACAGATTATGACGTTTGGATCAATTGCATTGGCACCAGGTGTTATGTTTTTGTACAAGCGAATATTAAAATTGAGAAATGGAACTATAATCCTACAGGGTATCGTTGTTCTGATGGGAATTAATGTCCTGACATTATTTGCCAAGCAGCCATGGGTTGTATTTATAGGTGGGATTTAATGAATTTTTGTTGAAGAAGTAGCATTTATTGAGTTTATCAATCTGATAAAATTTCAAACTGGATATCTTATATGGATAAAATTCCCTATAATACTTATATAATTCACATTATTAATTTTTGAACTTCGTGTCTTTCAGCCTCCAGTTTTTATGCATTTATGCAAGTTACTGCACCTGTTATACGTTCACAAATATCGTCTCTATCCTCTATATATATCTGAACAAGGTAGGACACATTGTTTTTCTTTCTTCCTCGTACAAGTATTAGCTCATCAATGTTATGCTCCAACTAGGAAATTAGAACATTCAAGAATTGATTCTGGCGACAATAAATTTCTTCCCGGCTACAAATAGGAAGTATTGCAAATCTTTACCTTCCACAGTTTTAATAAGCCATGGTCTGTCCACACACACAGCTTGAGTGTTGATTGTTTTCAGATGCGTGGTTGGGGAATAAATGATAAACACATCACAGCCAATATGCAACTACTTCGGTTTCCAACCCACTAATAATAGAGGCACCCGTGAAAATTACGTGGGTGCAAATGTTAACGGATGCAAATGTAATATTTAGTACAACTTCTCAGATACTTTGTTGGGCTCAGGTTTTTTTTTCCATTCAAGTTTTAACGATGGTTCAGAACCAGATTTCTGATTTTATTGGTTGGAATTGTTGTAAGTTGTGTAATGTAATTTTTGTCAGTAAAATGATGTCTCTATGTAACATATTTTTTTAAATTTCTAACGCCAAAATATGTCAAGCAAAAGCCAGATAATTGAAACCCCCACTTTTCATAATCGGAATGCTGTCAAGACCAAGTGAGGATCGTGTCAATAACGTTATTGCCCCTTTTTGCTATTGTTTGGAACTTCATTTGAAATACATAGTTCTACCATCAAAGACATATGAACCTGTTCATATATATGTGTGTTTATATATTACTTTTTTAGGGTCTGCTTTAAGTCTACTTTCTGGGACAGAAAATTTTTCAAGTATGTTCGCGAACCTGTGTTATCTGCTACTACCAATATACCATAGCTTCATCTGGTGCTTTCCTGTTGGCCTGCTACTTGTGCTGATGAGGTTAGTTTGTTAAATCGGTTTGTTTACTCAGATTTACAGTATTCAGGATCTATCACAGATGGTCAAATACTTTTAATTTTGCCAAACATTTTTCGTTAAATTTCTGTCTATCTTGGAACTCTTTATTTCTTCCTCCCTATGCATAAAACTAATTTATTTGTTCAATTTGTCAATAGAATCTTTGCTATTGTTATGCGTATGTCGCACTCCCATTTTCTACAATTTATGTAGTTAATTATGTGCTCTTGGGAAAGTTATACTAATAGAAAACTAAAGAATATTAGTGCTACTACGGCTAATACAAAGCAAAATTACTCCTCAAAAACGGCAAAATTCGGAGGAAATCCTCCCTTACTTAATCGATAAAAATTTCCATCCGTGCATCAATACGACGATTCCTTTCTTTTTACAGTATTGTATGGATAGCTGACAAGCGCAAAATTACGAAGTCTGCAATGTATGCTAGTACAGATTTTTGAAGATAAGCCTTATATAGGTAATCTTGCAATTATATGTCGATAATGCAAAGAAATATGGTGCAACTATGGTTAATATTTCCATATATCATTTGAAAACAAATATGTCGCCAAGTGGTTGAAGCCATATTGCAACTATATCAAAATTTTATAAAGGCTGCATCGGCTAATATTGTTTGCAAGAAAGAGAAATATTACGTGGTTGTCCTTATTACGTCAATTGCATATTGATGAGAGTGTCGATTAATGATATCGCTTGCTGCGCCAAGTTTGTTCTGGGGTAAACTAACATTATTTCACGGCACAAGTTAGCTGGAATCAGCAAACATAATTGAATAATACATCAACAAAAAATAACTGAGAGAAAATTGAATATGTTATTATCTATCTCGACCATACAATACTAATTTATCAAAAAATGTCGATATAAAAAGGGTAAACACAAAGTGTTGCTGTTGTCATAAATATTAATTGATCCAAACTTTTACCGCATAAATGAATACTTTAAAACAAAGTTGGGTATTCATTATATTTCATCATTCTCTGCCTTGTAGCTTATTTTTGAATTCAGTTCTCCGCTTCTTCTTTCTCACTTTAACTTCACTTCCCATTCTGAATACAGTAGTTTCATTCGACGAACTACTTTCTTCTATCAAAGGCTTGCTTTCCTCTTCTCTTGTGCGGGTCGACAGTTTTTTATGAGCCTGATTTACCTTCATAGCGGTGCCGACGAGTTTTGTAAAGGAAGGGCGAGGCGAGTAGCTCTCGTCGGAAGAAACGTCGCTCGAGTACTTATCTTCTCTGCGAGACAATATCTTCTTTTTCAGTTTGTTAGCTTGCATTGCTGCTGTAGTAATTTTGCCAAAGGTCGATTTCTGTTTTGTTACTTGAAGATGATTAGAGGAATCGTCTTCACTAGAATAATCACTATAGGATTGTGTTTTTGTTCGTGGTATCTGTGTTACATTCGTTTCCATCAGAGGAATACTTTCCTGAGTGCTATTGGTTTTTCTCCATTTAGAAAGTTTACCGAAAATAGTTCTAAAACAAGATAACAAAATCAAGAGAACTATTATGGTACCTATTCCAATACCAGCCAGGATCAGAATTGAAGTTTCTAAAGAATATCCGCGCAAAATTGACCCCAAGCCTCCCGCGCCATAATGAGAAACGTCCTCGGGTATCACAGCTATGACATAAGACATAATTAAATAACTTTTTCCAAAGTATGACATGACGCATTGGTAGAATCCCGACTGATCATGGCTACTGTCAAGAGATTTTCCAAAATACACGTAAGAATCCTGCGACCGTTCGCCCACGTAAGTGCGCGTCAAATGAAAAGGGGAATCTTTTATGCGCTGGCCATTCCTGTACCAAGTTATGTTTCCTCTTTGCCTCACGTTATCAGGAACTGGTGCTTTGCACGTTATGGATCGTTTTTCAGAATGTTCTTCCCAAGATAAAAGATCGTCTTGTGCATTTTTTTCACTAGTACTTTTTTCAGAGCTGGACGGAAGGAAAAACACCGTGCCAATGCCCGCTGGATTTGACATAAAAAATGATGAGAGCATGTTAAAGGTGTTTAGGTTCGGAATATCTTCAATTAAATGAATAAAGTCATTTTGCCTGACGCTATAGATGTAACCAACAAACGATTTGAATTCTTTCAAAAATTCGGTGCTTGGGTTTTCTCCAAGTAATTCATGCGTATGCTCAATAGGTTTTCCATATCCTCCAATATGTAAAGTCGGAATAGGAACATGTTCACTGGTAGCCGTAGGTACATTTGTATAGTATGACTTTTTATTTACCTCAAGATGCGCAAAGCCAGAATACACCAGCTGCAACGTAACCTTGTTCCAACTGTTTGTCAGGAGGTCTCGTCCACTTTTTAGTAGTGTAATCTCGCCTCCATATGACATTGTGAGACGAACGCTCCTGCCCTCTACTACGGATAATTTCCAATGCGTCATTCGATTATTGGAACCTTGAATAAAAAGAAACAGTCCGTCTTCGCATTCTGGCTTTAGAACAATTTCAAAGGTTGCGACTTCTCCTGATTGCCTTCCCAGGATCCGAGACGACTTTGTTCCCATCCATGAAACCAAAAGAGGAAGTTCCACGGATTGCTTACCGTTAAAATGCGTTAAAAGTGATAGATGACTGTGTACTCCAAATCCGTAAGACATTCGATTATCTCTAAAAGGATCCCAGACTTGACTGATTTCTGACTCTGGACGTATCTTTAGGTTGTAAGAACGATAATTCACTACAAAGTGAGATATATATCCACGAAACCCTTGGTAGCCTTTTCGGACAGCGCCAAGCCCAACTTCTCCATCAAATGAAGCAAATATTTGTCTACGATCAGGAGTAAAAAATTCCATAAGTTGACTTTTAACTTTGTATGCCATGCGCGACACAAACCCTGAGATAGGATGAGTTATGTTTGAAATCTCTGGAGCCTTGGAAAAATATTCTTCCAATCTACTTTGTATATTTTCACCGTCATTCAATCGTATCCAAACCATATCACTTATGATTGATATTCGAAGATCATTCCATTGTGAGTTTTTAACACCATGCGTGCGTATAACAATTTTTTCAGATCCATTGATTACTACGTGCACTTCCAATTTCTCGGCAGCAATAATATTTGCATAAACATAATCTTCGTTTTCGACGGGTTGGTATACCTGTTCAACTTTTGCTTCAATGTTTTGATCTTCCTTTTCTTGAAAGTTCACAAAACTATGAATTTTTTTCTTTTTGATCTTAACATTACCACTTTTCGTTGCCTGCTGAAGAGAACTTTCAGTCGAGTACTGAAAGAGTAAACCGTTGTCAGAATTTGGAATAAACCTTAGAAAGACATTGAGGTAATAAGAATGAGGTATTGCTTTGTAACGAACATAACTGTCCGGCAGAAAATGAGCGAGTTCTGGATTATCCTGAGAGCAAGGTATACCAGAACACGTTTTTGTTTGTACCGAGGTTCCAACACAATCCACGCCCTCTCCCGATACATGAGGATTTGAACAAGATCGTTGTCGTATTTGAACACCGTCACCGCACATGAATTGTGTTGTACATGTCGACCAGTTTTCCCACAGTGACCATTGGCCATCCACATCCAATATCGGTCTTCTACACGTCACCTGTTGTTTCGAGTAAGCCTCGCATGCAGTTGTTACCAGGTTTGGCAAGCAGTGCCTGGTACGTTTCTTGATGCCACGCTGTTTTTTACTGCCTAGGCAATGCGACCAAGCGCTCCACAAACTCCAGACACCAGGTAAAGAGGGGTTGAAAGCACAATTCCACCCTTCAATATGCTCACACGGAGCCAATTCGTGGTCGACACCCGAACATGTTGAACCTCCATACATCGGATAAGGAGTGTCGCAATCTCGCCAACGAACTCTTACGCCTTCTCCACATCGTGCCGAGCAAGGCTCGAACTTTCCCCACTTACCCCAATGGCCGTTTATGGGACAAGCGTAGCCATATTTTACACAGTTCAAATAGTTCCAATATTTCGTAAATTTGATCGGATCGCGAATTATTTGCTTAGCTCTTCTGAAATTACAATTTCCCACAAAGCAATTCTTTTCTAGCGTCAAAATATTGTTCCGATGAAAGCGGCTGAGTTCGTAATGTACAAATTTCATAACATTCCTTTCTTCTGTCACATTGGACTTCCAGTTACCATTCTTATCCAGGATACTCGAAATTTCCCATATATGCAAACAAAGAATGGTATATGAAAACGATATCAAATGACATGGAAGAACTATTTTCATAATTTATTTTCAGTAAGAGCTATCCAGATTTAATTATACAACGACTAAGTTAGAATTGCAATAGTAGGATATTGATTCTAAGATTAGGCATTTGGTTTAAATCATACAGTCGATCTCAATGGAATAAGTTGGGGCACGACTTATAAATAGTGGTAGTAGGATGGTATCATGTTGCCATGAGAAAATAGCATTAATTACTGGTAGCATTATACAAGGTTTACATGAACCGTAAAGTTGAAGCTGTTCCTCGAACGCATTAATCCGAGTTTCTAAAAAAGTCGAAGTCATTTGAGGAGATATGTTTAGCATGCTTATGCAATAAATGGACGAGGGGCAATTGACAGAAAAGCAAGGCAGTTAAAATTTGAACAAGCTATAATTGATAAGTTCATGTGTTGACTACACATTATCATGATGAAGAAAATAGACTTTATGTCAACGGCATCTGAACTTCAAACCAATGTTTCTTAACGTTTGCTAACCCGCCATCATGCAAGATTTGAACGATAAATAATAATATCAACTTGGCTTTGTCATAAGAAAATGCTCAAACTCACCGAGAGTAGAGGTATGCGTCAGATCAGTCGCAATCCCATCTTTTTGTTAAGTATCCCAAATTTTTAAAAAAATAAATTTTGTGAAATTTCGCGACTCAAGAACATGATACAATACTAAACGGCAAGTACAGCTTTTGTAGCCGAAAAATTCGATTACTATTACATAACAATATTTTTTACATAACATTTATTTCAACAGAATCTCTTTATATTGAAATCGTGGCGTGTGTTCACCTTTGCATAGTATAAGTTAAAATCGTAGAAAAGTCAATAGCACAAATCGTGCACCCGATTTGAAATTGAACCCGTTTGCGAATAATTTCCACCAATCCGGCTAATATGACATAACTGTCCCTTTGCAAACTTCAACTAGATCGCTAAATCAGAAGAAAACCTATTAAACAGGACTGGAAACGAATTCGCACATCTCGAGAAACATTTCATAGGCTTAATCTCAATTATAAGAGGTTGATTATCTCCCACATAATTACATTCTAGAGAGATACCGGTACTTGCGAACCCACGCACGGCAAAAAGCGTATATCTGACACTCGGCACAATTCGCTAACCACCGAGTTCTGTCCCAATTGTATTCAAGAACTACTGAGGCAACTTTGTCCAACCGTGGTAAGAATTACTGCTCTAAACTGGATACAGAAATGGAATTCAAATCGTGAGTATTGTAATACATTATGAGACACATATTCGCTCATACCAAACATTTACTGAACCTGAGATATCAGTCTACTCGTACACACCATAAACCGGTTAAAACCGGTGGCGCAATAGTTTTGCACATAACTGCCTACCATAAACTTTTCGGGAAAATTAAAGCCACAGCCTGTCTGCGTCAGGGCTGAGCGACCATTATATTCGCTTCACATCGGGATTAGTATGTAGGGAATTGTTATATAAACATTATGACATAACACTGAAAATTTTTCAATGCCTCAGACCGTAAATAAATATTGATACGATCAAACCAGAGACAATACATAACATGCATAGTATCGAGACCACTAAATTGAGCTCACGAGTTGCCGAAGCTTTCTTAACTTCAACGTCTGATCTGTGCGAAAAAATTGTGATTCATTGGCCATCTGTTCGGTTTTCAACTTTCCAAAAAGATGTGCGGCCCGCCAAGACTCGCAACCCTTAATTATGGACCGCGAGCAACAAAAGGTTGTCAACCCCTGCTCAGGTTTAGAATAGTGGTTCACTAACCGCTGGTCGGTTATGGCTTCCTCTACCATTAATTAAAGCCCTGCATCTGAACCAAACAGCGAGCTAACTAATCCCATACCCAACATGGACTGGTAACCGCACGAGAGGCCGTGGTTCTTCATGCGATTAAGCAGTCTTATTGGCTTTCTTCTACCCTGGGATAAATATGTAAATTCCATCCTATAGATTATAGAATAAAACCAGTAGCATGAACTCCCATGTAAAATGCACGTTAAACAAAGTCAAATCCGTCTAGTGGACATTTTTGTAGAAATGCTGTCAACTTGTCCTAATTTTATATAGATCTAAAACAAAATAGACTCTTTAAACCAAACAACACAATAGGCTTTTTATTCAGCGACTCAAAGTTTAAAGTATAAAAAGCGAGTTTGTCACTCAGCGTGAACAACGCTATGTAGCAATAAATGAAAGCATCTGTATCAGTGGCACTATACTTACCATAAATGTAATTTTGAAAATCCGGAATTTGAGTTCAACTTGAACACATGTGAATATTTTTAATTGAGTTAATTCGAGACAGAACTTAAACAAAAACTTATGAACATCATAGTCGAACTTGGCAAAGATATTGTTAGCATACCTTCATGTACAAAAAGCTTTACAACAAGGATTACCACAAGTAACCAGTATTTTATGGTATCATAAACGCAATAACTTCCTAACCAAACAATGAAAAATGAGGATGGGTGGGTGATAAAGGATGAACCAAATTCAAAACAAATAATAGCGTAAAAGGTACAAAAATGTCTTTTCAATCATTTAAAAATACAAGACAAAATAAATACATGGTTGGCAGATGAGTAGAACTCTTTAAAAGTATTTGTAAACATGAGAGGTCTGAAAGCTGACAATGAATAGAATTTTTATATCATGTGACAAGGTATAACTACTTTCCTAGTAATCATTCAATGATGATTCCAAAACAGCTTTCTTTGGGATTGACTACAGCAAGGCTACTGAAATACCAAAGGCACATTTGCATGTTTGGCTTTTAAAACAGTTTAAAATCTCGGTTGGGAATTTAAAATCACAAGCACAATAAGTTTGAATTTTGAAGTAATCTTTATTAAAAGCAGGAATCAACATTGCAGAAAACAATAAATTTTCCTCCACAAATTTGAAATGTCACTTCGGATTATTAAACAGACTATCTCCATAGCTTATGTGTCATCTAATTGTACAGTAAAGAAAGGTAATAAAATATAATGTTTAGACGCTCTGACAAAACAGTTCAGACAGTTTAAAATACACATCACTATAACTCTGAAATCTCTTGATGCGCAGGCTAACGCAATCTGAGTTTTTTGATTAAGCGCATGCTGGCATTAAGAAGTCACAGATCTGAGATTTCACCTTTTCATAAGTCATTCCACAATAAGACCTTGCCACCACTCGAAAATCACAAGACAACACTGCAATAACGTACCAATATGACTATTGCTATCGAACTGATAATCAGGTCCTCATATACTACATCCTTAAACAGATGTCTCACTTTGTAGGCGCAACACAAACCGATGTGAACTAGGTTCAACATAATCTTCTTGGAGACGAATTCTTGGTGATTTACGAACAGTCATTATAAGAGAATACTCTGGTTGACTTAAGCGAATCACTGTGTTATCCTGTGAATGAGGTTTTTTATAGAATATAAGTTTAATTAAAAAAAAAGTAAATATAGTTGATGCTGAGAAATATATAATACAAACAGTATTATATTTTCATGATTTTCAATTTAATAGGTCTATATATATATATAAATATAAAGCTATGGCATATACATAGGCTTACCATACGTCCCGGTTTAGCGGGGACAGTCCCGGATTTTGACAAGCTGTCTGTCCCGGTGTCCTGCCCCTTAAGGAACCCGGTCATGCAGTATGGCAGTTATTAATATATATTTTTTTAATTCAATGTCAATACAATATCATTTTGTTAATAGATGCATTTATAACTGATTTCGGACTTCACTAGTTCGTTAAGAGCAATGAGACTCATTGTTGAGAGAGAGAGAGACTACTATATTGTTATGTCATAATTATTATATGTTATTATGTCAATTTGACATCGAACATTAGCTGTACTGCACTTGAAATATTCAAAATACGTTTTCCAATGATTTGAATGTCACTGATATTCATATGAGTTGAATATTACCAGGTCTTAAAAAATCAAACCAGGATTTGTCAATTCGCACTGTCCCAGAAATATTTTAAACAAACGTACCTTGATAGAATTAACAAGAGGTTCATCACTGACTAATTGCCAAGATGTTGATTCTCTCTGCTGTTGATCATACGTCATGAGGGAACCAGGATGAATATATCTGAATAGTGAATAGATTTAAAATGTTATACATATAACTATATATAATGCTTATATAGCATCTCATCCAACATCATGGTTGGGGTAAAGGATTACTACTGACTGCTCACAAGTAGATATTTATAAATAGATCAATTGTAGATAGATATGATGACCAAGTAGAATAGACGAGAAACAGTGGGATGAATTATTCAAAATGATAAACTAAATTATGTTAAATTTAATTGAGAATAATTAAAAAAATACATAGATTTTCCACATTTTCCATATGATTATACAGTTATTCCAATGCTCATGAATATTGAATTCTGATTACAAATATGTAATCGTTTTAACCGTTTTCTCTTAAAGTTAGAATTGAGGATGTGCTTATTTATATCCTAGCCCCTAGCTCTCTAAACATTCAGTTGAACAAAACAAGATATGTTATATGAGCTGCCCCAATATGTTTCCGATTTTCAAACTGGCAACAGCTTAAATGAAAAAACACTATGTTATCAATCTTCACCTTTCAAGAAATGCCTTTGGCGTCATATCATTTTTAATACAAAAACCAAGATGTTTCAAGATATCTTCGATCTGATAATGCTGATGCTGTCTTGTAGTTCTCAAATATTTCTGTAGCGCTCTTGCCAATGCAGGAAATATGGCCTAAAAAGGTATAAACATGAAGAATAATAGGTAAAGCATACACCTGAGGCATATGTGTAGTGAAGAAAACATTACAGAAATTTTCAGTCTTTAGGTTGATAACAGGACTGTTAAATTAATATGACGACGACGTCAAACATAAAACCAAATTCGACCATATTGAAAAACATTTTTCATGAAATGGTAAATATTCTAATAATGCTGCACTTATTGTTCCAAATTTGTTGCTGTAATTATTAATTATTTCATCCATTTATCAGGTTCTAACGCAGGCCGATCTGGATTTTAATAAAATATAACATTTTTACCAGATGATTTACCAGATTTCAATATCTCAATTTTATTCAATCTTTTTTTGAGCTAATATTGTCACTGTAAGTGCTTGGCAACATAGAAGCTGAATTATGAAATTACCTGGGAAGCTTCATCAGGATTCATAACTTCATTTGATGATTTTGCTCCACTAGCCGCATCTTGCTCATTTGCCCTTCTTATGTGTGTAAATGCATCTTCTGTTGCAGCGATTAACCTAAAAACAAGAGAAACATAATGTTAACACGAATGCGATAACCGTCATCAGGTCCACAAACTTTTATACTCAAAATGTTTCAGCCTTGATCTACTACTTCGCGAGGTAAATTATTTGTCACTCCTCTCAATATGACAAGAATTTCATACTGATTCTCAAAAAGGGAAAAACTGACAAAATATTGTGAATCAGTGTTCTGCACGCACCATGCATATTTGGCTCCATAAGCATAAAACATAAAGTTCATCACAAAATTTCACACTCTGATTATACAATTAAATTTATCCGCTCAAAAATATCGCTTTCGTCAGTTTTATCAGCCATGCTTTCATCTTCACAAGAAATTTCAAATGTAAAGGCACGTATATTTCCATCTTGTTCATCATATATTAGTTGATAAATCCTGTTTAATGAACTGATGTTTTCCCAAACAATTAAAATTAATGTTTTCCAAACATTCTATATGCATACATGACATACAAAATCTTTGGGATGCACAATTAATTCCATATGGAAAATTAGATTTCAAATGTTAAAATAGTAGAATTAATCATAAAGAATATCTTAAAATGCCAATTAATTTTCAAGATTATATTGTATATTTTCAAGTCCTGTGCAGTAGTATAAAATGAGGCTTTTGAGAGTGGGTATAAGTACAATTTACAATATTGCCCGGAAAATCATTAATAGTTGGAGTAAAATGACCACACACAACATTTTTGAAGACTAAAATAGGATTTTTATACTGTTGTACCTGTATGTCTATATTAGTACAAGAACACAACAGCGAATAATCACTCAAAATTCATGGTTTGGTCAATTTTGTAATTTCCCAACAATTTATGAGAAAGACAGATTTGCAAATACCTTGCTCTTCGTTTTCTAATTCTTCTTTCATATTCAGCTTCTTCATAATATCGTTCATTATGTCCAGCATCTCTTCGTCTTGCGACTGCTGCCATCATTGCCCTCGTCTTAGCTTGTGTGTCATTGGAGGGACCTGTTTTATGTAAATCAAAATAATAGCATGTTATTTAGGGGAAAAATATTGTTAGAGGCATGGAAATCTCCTACAGACATGTGCTTGAACTTGAAGTCTTACCTCATTAACTCATAAATCATAGTGTTGGTAATTAATCGGAGTAACATGTTTTAAAATATGAAAGATATGTCATAACATTAACCGATTATTTGAGTCAAGGGAGCAAATACAGTTGAACGAGGTGGTTTCTCATACAGCAATATCTCAGTAATCGAACATATTTCCCTCAGGATTGATGTTCGATTAACTATTTGTTTGAGTACTGTTCAAGTTCGATATTAACAAAACGTGTACCTTAACAGCAATAACTATTCAAATGTGTAGATGAAAAATATTAAACATAATTAAAATATAAAATATTTTGTATCATTTACTGCACGTTTAAGCACATTTCTGTCGGCTCCATGGGATTCATTTTTTGAGTGCAATGACGCATAGGCGTAGCCAGAGAGGGCCATGGCACCCCCAAAAATGTTTCAGAATTCCATTCTTAATCCACCAGTTTTGTGGCAATCTTGTCTCGTCACGCTTGCTGATCGTCATTGTTACGTCACAAAGACTTGGCCGTTCGCTGTTATGAGCAGTTTGGGAAAGACTGTTTCGTTAGCTTTCGGTCAGTTACTCGGTCCTGATTTGTTCTCGCCGGTTTTATATTCGAAACGCTTGGATTTTGATGACCAAATTACTTCGATGGCTAAATTTGAACAGGCGACATGCGATAGTTTTTTTCAGCGAAATAAAGAGTCGCTTTCCTCAAAAACATCAATAAGCGCTACTCAGGCTGTGGATGCACTGGTTACGTCAGTTATGTCTATCACTTCTATTCCCGAAGATAAACTAATATTCAAAGAAGGGAAAACAAATGATCTTCGATTTATTCTTTAGAAACATATCGATGTGGAGAGATACAGGCTTCTAACTTCGAATGGTCCGAAAAACGTGACGATTCTGGATACCGTTAGACAAAGTCGTCGTAAATTTTTCAAAAAATGGCTTGACGATGACAGATAATGCAGTTGGTTAGTTTGCACCCAACTCTCTGATGGGGCTGGATTTTGTATTCACAAAAAGGCCGTGGATTGTTGATTCAGTTGGCTTATTGATAAACTGTTGTTGTTTCGCGCTTGAAGAAGGGGTGTCTTAAACCAATATAATTTCTGAAATTTTCAAATTTGGGCCCCCCCCCAAAAAATTTTGGGCTGGCTACGCCACTGCAATGACGTCATCAAAAATTGTGCATCTCGTGGTAGATTCGCATCCGCGCTAATCATGAAGATTGTTGCACCGGTGGCCTACTGTGACAGCTTGCATACCTATACTACTTCGTTTTGGCTTTTGTGGCTATATATTTTAGCATCGCTCTCTTGTTGAATGGTCAAGACAAGAGGCAGTCAAGAAGCGCCGTTTGGGTAACATCACCTCACTCGATGGCGTACTCGGGTGTTCGAGCACCGAATTTCTGTTCGAGTACTGAATCATTTCTGACTAGATGTTTTTGGTCAACTACCGAAATTGTTTGGTTCGACTACTGAGGTATTACTGTATTTATCTTATTGAGTGACACAAACATTTTAATGGAGTATCGAATAATGACAGGTTTGTTGCTAATATCATCCTCATTTTAGTAGATATTATTTTCTCATTAGGGGGCTCAATAAATATCTACCCACATTATCATTTATATTTACACCAAACATAGTTGAACTCTATATGCTCAGGCTCAGCAAGTATTCATTAAAGAATGTGAGCAATTTTGACCGCATAGAAAATAAAAACATTTTGATATTTAAAAGACAAAGAAGATTAAAATTTGAAAAGATCTTCATCAAAAAGAATACTTCCTAGTCACACAATACATTACAGTGAATACATGCCAACTACTACCTGTACTATTTGAATAGTTTCCGACCTGGCACCAATCCCTTAAATGTCTCATGAAGCCTTTCTCTGCACGATATCCAATTTCAAATTGGTTGTTATTTATAATTAATGCATCACTGACTTCAACAGTTCAATAGAAAAATGCATCAGGCAATAGATCAAATAAACAATTCTTAATACAATCAGGTTAATTTTTATTATTTTTAGATAATGTGATGCCTTGCTCAGCTATACCATCATTTTTGTCAACTTAGAATTGCGAAATTTATTATGATGTTCATGACTGTGACACTTATGACACCAAACATTGATTGGCAATACTTAATTACAGCTTCATTAAAATATGGGTAATTGTTTCAACTAGTTTGAATACCTCATTGCTTCACTTCAAACAATTTCCTATATTGTCAATGAAATAGAAAATTGCCAGTTGCCTCATCATTCTGTGTCAAGATCAGCTTCGGATAACAAAGCTTATAAATATTTTATTTGGAAATTAGACAACAATTTTATTGCAGGAAAAGTCGGCAGTTGACAGGATAGTAATCAATTATCTCGACTACTGATGGAGCGCACCACAAATATGTCTCCAATATTCAACACAGTACATGGCGGGATGGCACAGTATTCTCATTGTAAAATGAATGATTTCATATATTTATGTGCAGTGCTCCTTAGATTTATAGTTTATTCGATATGCACGTAAACTAAATTTGACATTAAAACTTGCTCGAACAAAAAAGTTTAAAAGTTGAGAGATCAAAGCAAATTTTAGAATCTTTGTCTTTCATTTGAGATCTTATCGCACATAAACACAAAACAAACAATTTCACAGTTCAACAATACCAAATCGTTATCCACCTTAATGTGGTGCAGATGGATAACAGTGTTCATTTTGCTTCATAGAGGTCACTCAGACTAAAGATTGAAGCAAAAAGTAATTCTTCCTAGCAGTGGGATATCATTCTATTCTATTCAATTGGATTAATAATATTCAAAATTGATGAACACTATTGAAGGTTGCAATGTCACAAGTAATGTATTGAATAATGATTTCACTAATTCATTTTGTCCGATGAAAGGCTCAATATTTTTAACACCATCATCGCAAAATAACTTTAACATAACGTATACAGGCATAATAAGTTCAGTTTTGGATCTATCATCAATGCCATTTGAAATGTTTTGAATAGCACTCAATTTTGGTCTCTCTTGAAAAAAGCCAGCAATAGCAAATCCAATGTTTAACGAAATTGATACAGTGATGTGCTAGGCCTTTTTTGCATTGAATTCTAATAAATTTATCTGCCTGTATATAGTTTGATGAGGTATTGTAGACATAACAAGCTTGTGACCTCATATTCTTTGCTGGAAAAAAAAGAGGATAAAACTGAAGGTTACCAAAAAAAAATACTCCCTTACCATCAACATCATAAACTTTAAAATTCTGAGCAGTGAGTTGTTTCATGCGAGCAGATCGAGATGGAATGTGAAGTAAAGCAGGGTTGTAAACTGGAAAGTCTCTATAATATTGTTCCAAGACCCACACTGCAGTCCTCTGAATGCTGCAATACAAAACAAGTTGCAAATATTATGAGATAGTGAATAATTTAAATGCAAACAAACTCTATCAACTCTAAACTACTTTTAAAACGGGCACAAACAATGTTCCACATAGTTGAAGATCTTTATCTCTCAAAGCGAGTTGTCAGTGAACACAAGAGTTGATTTTTACTTTGAAGCAAAATTTTCAAACCTTTATTTGTCTGTATCGGCAGTTTGTAAAATCATAACTTTTATAATGCTAAATCGATAAACTGTATGTAATATATTTAGTAGTAGGTTACCCATACTACAATATGCTTAAATTTATATAAGTTCATGAACGAAGCTTATAAAGTAAATAGCACATTGAAGAGTTGAATACCAAGTATTCATTATCTCAAATTCGGCCCAAGTTGATTACTATTTGAAATGTCCTGACATTGGAAAACACTTTCAACTTTTACTGCTACTGCCTAATTGGAATGTACTTGCTAAACTTAGTTCACTCCCATTTTTAAGACATCAATTGAATCTTACTGTTAGTGAAAAACTACATATTTCACACAATGTACGCAAAAGCCCAATGAACAGTCTGTCTGTGGGGATCTGAATTCATCGATTCAGAATTAAAAATAATAAAATTCATTAATTATTCTAGAATTACATGAATAAGAGAGATTACTCAGATGAAGAACCATGCTATATTGTCTAGAGCCACAACAGGTGGTATAATTCGATTGGCTCATTAACGATCCACCATCACATTTGTTTGACTTAAAACAGATCATTGAGATCAAGATATATCTTTTTTATCAATCTGAAAAAAGGTACAGCACTTGATAATGCTCATATCAGAATAGATCATGGATTGGATTGTATATAAAAACCGAATTTTGCCATTTGCATTTAAAATAAAGCACTCTTACAAAAATGTGATATAATATTCAAATTTATAAAATAATACTGATAGAAATAAACGTTTGTAAACCTTAACTCTCCGATGTTGTAAAACCTTCTTTCACCATCTGTTGATCTTATAACTTCAATAATATAACTTGTCTGGAGTTGACGTACTTCAAGAAGAACAACAGCGAGGTAGTGAATAAAAAGCAGACAGTTTGTGAGGGTTTCTGCATACTCAACAATGTCCTGCAAAAAAATAACTCAATATAGAAATGCAGCTTCAACAATTTTACTACACATAAACGCTAGCATAGTTAATTTCAGCACCTATGTCAATATGAAAGGCTGTAAAGAAAGAATAAAAAGTGTGCATAGAGATGAAATCAGCCTATATTCTTTACGGTTTCATTGTAATATTTTCTAATATGTGAAAGTTGAACTTCAGTGAGCATACAATTTATGTGCTGATAAAAATAGAGCCGGCATACAGTAGGCTATTTAACTAAAAAATATAATTTGCTTGTTGTGGATACATTTGTAAAAGTAATTGAACAGGATATATTATTGTAAGGCAAGGTTGAATGAATTTTCTTTGATTTTTTTGCCTTATGCTTCAAAAAATGAAATCCTCTACTTTGGAATACTTGAAAATAAGACATAAATGCACAATCCACAAAGTTTACTTGGCTGGTATCAAACTCTCAGGTAATATTTTTAAATGCGAAATAAACTCAGAATAACCAGAATCTCATCCTTTAAAGCAGATTATGTGATTTCGCAAAAAAAAATCGCTGTATAGTACAGTCTATTAAAAGGAAAATTAAAACACCCTGAGAACATTAGTTTACTTTTGAACCACCTGGAATAAATCACAAAGATAATAATTCAAGCAGTAAATAAATTATTTTAACAGCTATTCAACTCTTGATAGCTGTCTAACGGAACATTAATATTGATCACAGATTAATGATGATAAATTGCCTCAAGGCTTGTTAAGTCTTCTAAACAAGAGCTAAACTGAGTTTGTTTGGGAGGTAATGTTAAGTGTTACTCAACCAGAAACAAAATTCAATACACATGAGTTAATTTGATATAAGATCTATGCATTTAGCAGATGCCTTTGTTGAGTATGAACCATGTCAAATTATGTAGAACCATTATGCTGGATCAATTCCTTGTGCTCGGCTATATATAAAATTTAAAAACTTTCAATCGCATTACCCTATTTTCAGATTTTTTATATAATATTTCAGAGATAGTCATGGATATCATATTTCGACTGAATACTTGAATAACGACCCATATTTAACCAACATCAATTTACAAATGTTTACTATAGTTGATATTTAGCTTCAATGTTTATCCAACACTGTTTCAGAGTCCCTCTTTGCTTCGCCCTGCTTTGAGTCCAGGTACCATTTATGGATATGGAGCAATGACCGAACCAATTAGTTTTTTTTATTTGTGAAAATGCAGAGAGCCAATGATATTAAATCAATATAGGAAGATTTGAATAGGAAAAATAAGTTATTGAACCTTGAAGAATTACTTTTGGCGCACGATTGCATAAATCTTCATAGACTGGGATAAACATATATGCTGTACAATGTAAGGCCAATGATGTAAAATAAAAAGATTCACATCATATTTGAGTGGTAGCTAGTAAAGTTTACTCAACTGAATAGGTTAAATAAAAAACAACTAACTGACAACTAACCACATTGTTTACTTGAGTAAAATAAGAGAGCAGACCGAAAATAATAACCTGAAGGTTAATGACTAACTACTTCAAATAATTAGGGAACAAATTTTTCCCATAAAGTATTTCCATTTTTTTTTAAATTAACCTAATAATGTTTCGAATGTGATTGAGTGTCAACCACCTTCCATCACCAAAGTAAATCTAATATTTAGCATACAGATTAATGTCAAATATTGCCTTGAGACAGTGTTGTAAGCAAAAAAGAATGATACTTAAGTGATCAATTTTACTTGTGTATTCGAGTTTTCATCGCCACTAGCAACCGTAACCAATTTTCCAATTAAGGTTTTCAATGGAGTAGATTTTGAAAAATTAATGAGCCATGAAAAGTTTGAAATTGTATGTAGCAATGAAGGGCTTTCGTAATAAACGTATACATTGTATTGTTGTCACTAATATGTTTTGGTTTTATAAAAATCTGCGAAAATGTTATGTTCATACAATGAGAATGGTGAAGTAGACGATAATCAAATATTACTAATATTAATTTTATATTTTATACCTCTTTATTATGGCACAGTGCAAATAAATACACAGATTTTAAATTTTGTAATAGAATTCGTACAGTTAAAATAACAAACACCTAAGCATTGAATTTTATTGACCAGAGAGAAGGTTTATTTCATTTACCAAACCATGAAACACACAATTTATGCATACATATAAAATTAGTGAATAAGCAGATGCTTTCGGTATATGGCTGGGAGGCAATGATACGACTTTTTAGGGTCATGACAGTCTGTTACCAAAAGACCTGAATATAAATCACTGGAACATAGGTTTTTAAGGCTGAATCACTATTATCCTATATTCAAGCATGAAACGTATGCAAGGGGGAAATTTCTAGTTCACAAACAATGTGATAGAAAATCAAATACGACAAAATTGAACACATCTGGATCAAGTCTGCATAATTAAACTAAGATGAATTGGCATACTGTAAGTTTCGAAAAGAAACACTCTAAACTTGAGTGGTGAGACGTGAGAAAGTTTATTACAAATATGGTATATTTACAAAATGAATGAAAAAACACAGATCGGAAACAACTCCATACAGCAGTATTTGAGAATATAGGATCAAAGTTTACATAACGTTAAGTGGATGAATGACAATACTCTTAATAAAAATGTTCATATGTTGTGCTCACCATGAAAAATTCAAAAATCAATTGTAATAACATTTAATGCCTGATGAAATTATCCGACCAAAATATGTAGAAAAATTCTTCTTTTTTGTGTTCACTATTTCTAAATTTAATATACATCTTATGTTGGTACGGCTGATGATAGGGAACATTCGTCTCCACCAAAAGTGCCATTACTTCAATAGACCTACTAGACATTGGTTCAGGAGTCTTCTCAAAGCACAATTTTATTTTTCAATTTCTGTTTTGTTAAGTGCCGAGTAACAAAGACTAATCATGATCAAATATTGACACAGAGTTTGGCTCATGTTTTATAGCCGACGACGTGAAAACAATAGAAGTTATGAGACTGCGATATGAAAGAAAAATTTTGATATAAATCGTTGTGTAAACAATAAGTGAATTGTTGTCAGTTCCAGAAATAACTAAGTTGTTAACAAGAACTTATGAATTGAATATTTTTATAATGATCTCTTAGCCAGAAGAGAGCGTGGCACAAATCTTTGACAGTATTAGGCCTTGAATATTTGAAAAAAAATGTAAATTTACAAAAAGGTGAAACAATAAAGAGTTATAGAAATAATTGACCTACCATTTACTTGGTTTAGGGTAATACAACAACGGGAAATTGAACATACGAAAAGATGTTGAGCAGTAAGAGCCTTAAGCATTCACCCTACCCTACACTATACATGGAAGATATTGCATGGCCATAACATTTTAAACAGAATAATATTTGTTTGGCTTGATAAAATCTAGCATAGTCATTTTCTTATAGTTTCTGAAATAATGATGCACACCTTATATTGAACTTCATCATCTGAGACTGATTTGTCCAATATCCGTACTCCATAGAATAGCCAGTATGTTAATGTAATGATCAACACCAGTCCCATAACCATTGCTCTGAAATTAAATTGATGAGTGATTATATTCTGAGTTCTATCAATTTCTGTGTGGGTGTATTTTAACACAAACACATATATTGAAAATCCATTGGGAAAGTCGCACCGGCTCAAGAACAGCCTTTCCACACCTGTGTGTATCTGCCCTCAATATATAATTTTGAGTTACGAAAGTTTAATAGTTGGTTGGGAAGGATTTACAACATATTATTTCAGATGGAGAAAGTGAGTCAAATCAAGCATACTCATGGTATGTACAGAGTTATAGGTACAAGATATATGGGGCTTAAGCCCTAAGCTGAACCCAAAAATGTCTAAACGGTATTCTAAATAAACAATAAGTCTGAGGTATCGCTGTGTGACGGATCTTTGTCAGGCAATTTATTAGAGGTTTATATATGATCTGGCAAAGTCCAATATTGAACCTTGTTGACTTGATAGAGTAACAGCACACGAATGTCCTCTAAGTACCATGAGCTAATATATGATGTAAATAATGCAAATGAATCTCTTAAAAAACCTTGTGGCAAAGGTATTCAAACACAAACCATTTGAACAATGATTCCATTTTATCAATTCCCAAATGATCTTTATAGCTTACAGTCACATGCTAATTGGCATTCAGGCCACACAATAAAAATTCATTTGGTTTGGTAATTAACACACAAACAAAAGTTGCAGTGGCAAAACGATACTTTCAGTTGAATAGCAAGTAAATATTTATCTTTCTGATTACTTCAATTTTCTTTTATATTAAACAAGGAAGGATTTAGTATGATGTTATTGAAGCATCTTAGAAATGGGAAGGACCAATATCTATCTTTGAAAAGCAGGAATTAGTAAGGCATTATCACACTCTTGAAATCTACCACTTGTAAGTAAATAAAGAAATATATTTATCATACTCTGGACTGTATAGATTTTATCAAGTTTGAATGTCAACTTTGCTAATCCACTACACTGAACTCCAGACCACTAAATACAGACTACAAAACTAAAAGAGACATTTATTATTTGTGACTGATGTCAGTATTGTCCTTGTAGTGAATAACTGAATGTTTTTGAATTGAAGGTATTACTAAATATCATTCTAATGATATGTATGAAGTTAAACAGGCAACCATTAGAAAATGTCCACTGCATTATTACATCATTACATCTTGGTCTTGGATTGTGAGTGACTCACTCAAATAACGACGTTGTACATCTGATTAACCACACAGTCATGAAAAAGCATATTGATGATATATTTTGTGTTTAGCGTGTATTCAGTATCTCATATGGTGATTTTCACTATAGAATTTCCCACCAAGGCCTCCCCAAAATAATAAAAAACACAAATATTTCATTTGTGTTCTTTCTTTGCAAAAAAACATAATATCTAATAAACAATTGAAGGTTGTAAAATATTAAATATTTTTAAGGTTTCACCTGAATAAAAAGACACGCGGCATATTTGCTCTCGGCCTTCTGAAAAACAACGCCCATGATCCAATCAAAAGTATCAATAACTTGAATGACATACTGATTAAAAGTCCCTGTGAAAAAACAGAATAGTTTGGTAACATTGATTTATTTTAATAATTCCACACATACTAGACTCAAGTTATATCGAATTGTATTCTAGACTAAGCATTAAGGCTAGAAATCATAATTTACAATTGAAAGGAATTATGCAAGAAACATACCTGACATGGTGTGGCACAAGATGTATCTCCCGGGCCAAAAAATAGTGGTAAGACAACAAATGCGATTGGGGTAACAAACGAGATGAACGCAAGTATGACAGTTGCAACAAAACCAAAATCTCGAAAACCTATTGATGCTTCAATGTCCTGTTAAAATAAAAGAATGTTAGCTGTGACATCTTCACAATAGGCAATATAGACAATGAGAAAATACATAGTAAATTCCTTCAGAGTTCATGATTCCATTATTCTACAACACAGCCTCTTTATTTCAGCATTAGACAGTCACATCACAGATGTATGAATTATTGAGAAATTACCGAGATAAATTTGATTCATCCCTTGCCAAGGTAATAAAAAATAATATTCATCCAATAAAAGATTGGATTTCCTGCAATTAAACATCACACAGTAGATATAGCCCGGATCTATTGTAATAATCTTCTTCCTTCTCCATGAAGTAAGAAATCAAATCTTTGGTGAGAAAATAGTTCAATTTAATTAAACAATGTTCTCGACCTTCCAAAAAATCTCGATAAAATTCTTGTGCAGAATCCGGCAGGTGCAGGTGAGTAAGGTTTCAGAAGGTGTTAATTTCATTAGGGTTACCACAATAGAACATAGGAGAAACGAAGGAGCGTTAAATGTTATGCATCATTTAATTCTGATAAATAGGAGCATAAATTCACGCCGGTCTATATACATAGTTAAACGAGCCTAGAAACTCTATCATATGATATTTACACATTTATATGTTAACGCCATGGCATTCTTATTTGAACCATAACACCCACGTCTGAAGATTTTCAAACCCATTTCAAGCATCAACAAGTTTGTACCACAGATAAAAATACTCAGACGCAGAATTCATCAGTTGATCATCCATAGATCACCAAAATTAAGCTTCAGAAGTCATAATATGATATTAAATAAATGAGCAGAAAGAAACAGATGACAGATTCTTAATTTTTTTCAAGCAAACCAAAAATACCAATAATTTTGAAATACAATTGACAGATCATGGAATTTTCTTTTCATGAGACTTCGTGCATGTCCATCAAGTAAAATATGATAAACCTTCTCTTATAAATACAAAATTTTGCTTCATACAATAGTATTTTACAAATGGCCGTTTTTCATAAATTCCATATTCACGCCTTTACTTTGGATGCCATATCATGATCCAACAATAAATACGGAAAAGCTATGACACAAGTTTTTATTTAAAGTTTTGATAAATTTTTATTTAAAGACAAATAATGGTGATTCCACTCCATACCAACTATGTCATGACACCAATGCCAAAGAATATTCATGTCAATTAGACAATTACTGACTTCCAAATTGCAGTGAAAGCTGGGTATTTCAATGTGACATCTCAATTACTGAAGTTATATCCCCCACAAATCAAGCCACAAAATCTTAAATAAATAAACAAGGTTATGAAAACCTACTTTTCGAAATTTTGCCAGCGATTCGTGACTCAAATTCGTGACGTCGGTTGTGCCAGAGATGAAAGTGTTTGTTTCTCCCCAGTTGTCGTCCTGAAAATGAAAATAATAAAAGGTCAGCTATAATTTGTTTAGCTGAAGCAGACAGTCTTAGTAAGGATTTAAATTTACAGTGAATGCACGCTATCCAACCATTCCAACATGATGGAAATAAAAAAAAAACAGATGTATATAGTATATGGGTAACACTTTTAACACAATTTTTATAAACAAAAATATTCTGACCATCTACGACACAAATCATATGCCGCATTGGGCCTCGTATTAATGGCGATATGTGTCCATGATAAACAATAGGCATAATCGTGGTCTATCGCTATAAGAAGATTTAGAAACAGCCTCGGATGGACAAATGCTGTGCGTAGTTATACTACTGGCGTTACCCCGATAAGATATAAAGTCAATACTACTGGCGTTATCACGATTCTTCATGATAAAGTATATAACGTTTAAAAAATATGACGTTGCTGTGCTCTTTTCCAATTTATTTTTTTGCTATCTGTTGACGCATCTCTTATCGGGGTTTTCGATATAATAAAAGTTTGAGGATAACGAATATAAATATTCACAAACAACTTCAAGATAAAAGCGGTACGCCTGCGGCGCATCACAGTCAACAATGTGCTGCGGATAGTTTATTATCGCGATCATATCATCCCTTTCAAATTGTCGTTACTTTTCGTTTCTTGCTTTCCTTTTAATATATTTTGAAATCAAAAGACTTCTTTTACGTATAAAAAGTGTTGCAACCAAGTTTTAACGCACCAAAAATTAGGTTGATTTGCGAACAAATGGACGGAATTGCAAAATTAAGTCATGCTTTTTTACAAAATGAACCTCGTTTCAATGGTACAAGATCGGCCACTGAAACTATTTAAAGAGTTAGAGTGGCGGATAGTATTTCATATCATATTTTACGTCACTGAATTTGATAGTTGAAATTAGAGATGACACTGATATTTTTCTGTCAACAAATTTCAACAAAATGAATATATGGCAGGTATGATAGTATGTGTGGAGTAATTGAAATTATCACACGAGTTAAAAGATCCGCCTGGACACGAAATGGCGCTTTGCGTATACAACGTAAACGTGAAGTTTATATTCCCGTTGTATTAAGAGTACATTTACCGCCAAGATATATATTTTCACATAGTAAATAGTTTTTTTTTTTGAGCGAAAACTCGTTGTCAGTGCGATACATAATTGTTTTATAATACACATGCTAAATAATTTATGCATACCCTCCAAGAGAAAATTTCTCACAAAAATTTTGCTGTGACGAGAAGACAATAAGAAGACAAAGCAAAAAAGAATAGTACAAATCTGCATCTTGGAACGCGTTTCTTCTGCAGCTCAGGTCACTTGGTGATTGACGTACAATTTTGCCACAAGTGTCAGGGAAAACAAACACCGTACTGTTGTCTAAATAGCCAAGTTGGAAAAGACCACAATACCAAATTCGTCTGAGACATGCACACAAGCGCGTTGGGGTCACGAACGAAGTGATTGATATTAAAAGCGCAATTTAGGCATGACTTATGGTCACCAGATTTCAGATATCAAGTTTCGGTTCAATGTTACACTACGAACGTCCATTATGTCCTCTTGCGTACTGGGCAAGAGCTCATAAATCATCTGTGAATATGTTACATTGATAATTTGCGCATTATATTTCCACGTCAACTGAAGCGGGACGGCGTTAAGGGGAAGACTTTGAAAGAAAACAATACCAAGTGAACAAAAACACTCGCGCTATCCAGGCGCCGTGAATGCGGAGGTGTGGACGTGATCTTTAGACGGGTATGCCTTTTCGCCTGACGTCTTTCGTCAAAACCCCCACGATCTGATGTGAGGTAAGTCGACCAGAGACAGTAAATCCCAAAATGACCACCAACTACCGTCATTTAGAATACTTCTAACAAAAATATGCAGATTAAACACACAAGCCGGCGACCACCGCAGAGGATAATAATATCATCAAGGGCATTGCTCGGTCCCTCTTTTGCCGGAACACATTTCAATACTACCAACAGTTACAAGGAACTGGCAACAGATATAAAAATCTAAAGTTAGAGGTAGATCCGGATACAAATACAAAGTCAAAATATGTCGCGAAATTCTTCATTTACGCGAGCTGTCGTCAACAACTCGAACACAATTTTAACGCGTCTTAGACAAACAATCTGGGCAAACATTTAAAAAACTGGGACGGAACATTCCCACAAAAAAACGAATGAGATATATGGTCGAGGATAACTACGATTACAAACACCACATCACGAATGGGACTAAATAATCATGAACTTGCTTTCATATGTTAATTCACATTTAATGTGAATTACTTTAAAATAGATGTCCCATTATTATATTATTGAAAGATTTCCGCACCGTTGGTTTTAAATATTTGCGATTTAGAATGGGTGATTCAATTATGTGGTTTTCTATAAAAATATTAAACCAAGGAACGGGAAAAAATAATAGTAGGGTAAAACATGAATTTAGAGACTGATTCCTGATGTATACTGACAAATAACAAACTTTTATGTAATTTTGTTTTATCTCGTCTTCGAATTTTTTTTTTCCGATAAGGAATTTTGCGATATGAAACATAACATAATGAAACTAAAATTTTCTGTCAAAATATGTGACAGAATTAGGATATTCACAGCCATATTTTTCTCAATCTATTGAACTTTTCCAAAAAAAAAATTTCAAATTTCAAATAGCATTCATAATTTTGCAGTCTGTACAACGACGGCAATGAAAATTCAGTGCAATTGATGCTTTATGTTCATGTTTAGGATTTTATTACGCAATCGCTTGTCTGCTTATATTTGGATACGGACTGATTTCATTCAACTTCTGGATGAGTTGGTAGAGCAGCCATTGTAATTGCGTTCGAGAGCTGTTGAAGAGGGTTTATTTCACCATTCCTGTGAAGCATAATCCTGCTTCGCGCGGCGGTAGCTCGATCTGAATAAAGTCACATGCTGGGCTCACTAACCGCAATCGAAAGCACTCGAAAGAGAACTAAAGCCTGTAAACAAGCTGAAATCGTTTTACTACCAAAAAAATTATGGTGGTATCACTACGCAGCGTAGTCGTGAATAATACAGTATAGCGGAATAGTGCCATTTATTCTTTGGGGAAAGCAAACATAACCATATACAAACGCAGTTGAATACAGAGTGAATTTAACATTGACAACATATATGGAAAGACAATCTAGTTATTCAGTAGTACAGTCCCGCTGTAATTTAACAAATGAATCATCACTCAAGTGTGTGTAAGTAAAGTTAGTTATCGAGACACCGATCCATTCTTACATTTGATACGGCTCAGTACAGATTGGTATATACACATTTATAAACCCGTAGTGAATTTGAATTCTAATTTTGATAGGACTTGCGGTTCTGGACAATAACGCTACGAAGAGAAGTCCATCACCAAAATAACAATAACAAAGCATCACTGCATATTACTATTTACAAAAGGACTTTTGCCGTAATTTGACTGAAGTTTGTGGTATAGGAGCAACGCATTAAAATGTTGCTACCAAAGCTCTTGAATTTGTTTCCCTGGTGACATACTAGAGTTGCCACATAAATACACATTGGTATAACGTATGAGTATTTATACACAAAACTATTCACCAAGTTCATATTATATCACAAAACTCATATTTTCGGATTGTTTCAAACTTAACGCAACGCAACTCATGGTAAACACCAATCAGATTCAGCCACATATTTTCTGATGGAGAGTTGATACGCTTGTCCGTGTATAGTTCTTGAATTCACTTATCAAAATAATATAATTTGAATATGAACCAACAACTACTCATATTTCTTAAACCACCTGTGATCCTGAGCGAATGTAGTTTTATATGAATAGAGTATTAAAAATTCACATTTCCCCACAATCTTCGAAGTTGGAAACATGCCAGGTGTGTTATTATAAAGTAATTCGAAGTCCCCTATACAAAACTAACAAAGCGCTGTTACCTATGCTTATTAGTAGACAAGCTATTTGACATGAATTATGCCTCTAGGGCCGTTCGTGGGATCGAGTAGGTATCACAGATGGGGGCCAGTCAGAGTTCAATACCTATGGGCGATGGTATCAGTTTAAAATCGAAACATTTTATGATCTTTGCCGCCATTGGATAACGCTGGCTGAGCTCGAATCTGTCGTCGATAAAAAAAATAACAAATATTTTAGTTACTGGGAAAGATAAACTGATATTTTTTTGAGTAAAATTACTAAGTACGGAATGGCCGCTAAATCTTAGTGTAGCCATGATTTTCCGAATACAAATAATAATCACTCTTAACAAAAGAATGAACCATCCATAGTGACGTTTTTCTATTTTGGTCTAATTACGTTTCCGCCATTCCAACGTCATCTTCGAATCCTCCTACGATAAACGAAACATTTGTGACCGGGAAAAGGAAGTCAATTGTCTATTCTATTTTAACTAAACAGCCCAACAGTAACAGCAACCGACACCATGGTGAAAAAAATACACTTGAATTGGAATCGTTCCAGAACCCTAAACCAGTGCTCAAAATCGTTCGTCGTGCTTTGCCATGCGAAAACGAATTGCCTCGCCGCAAGTATGCGTTTTCCGGTCTATCTATTATCCCAAATTGTTTACATTTTCAGAGAGTATTTTATACTACTGTTCTAAATGGTTTTAAATTATTTACAGAAATCACCTTGAAACTCATTCCATCTCTTGGTACATATTTTGATATTTCCTACAAATGACGTGAATAAATTGAGATTTGAAATCAATCACGGAGGTTAAGGGCCCACGACAGCGGGGACACGCTTTCTAATAGCGGAAGATTAAATCCCCCTCAACTCCCGTCAGCCGTGACAAACTTTTGCATAACGAGAACCTCATTTTGGCATATTTTACATAAATATGAGATAAACCAGACAAATGAGACGAAAAATGCGACTATGTAATCAATATACCAATGACAGGCTAGACACAACTGGTGTAGCAATTTGTAACAGTCGGT